AACAATGGGTCACAATCTTCAAGAAAGATTACAGACACAATATTATACATCCTTATCATTAATAAATATGCATACATACTATATATGTACAGTCTACATATTACCATGTTAGAGAAAGTTTTAACAACAGATTCCCAAAATCACAGAACAGTTTCCTAATTAACTGACCTCATCAATTTCTTAGACTATTGCTATCAGTTAATTTACATGTTTTAAGCATTTACTGCACCTTTTGTTTTATATTTTTTAGAAAAACTACTCCAGTTAGTCATATAAAAAAATAAAAAAAATTATTTAAAAATCAGTTATCTGGAGAGGTCTAATGCCAGTTAATCAATTACAAGAATCTGCCAAAACGTACATCCTAAATTTACACAGCTGTGCAATTCATTTTTAGCCAGGAAAAACTAAATGTCTCTTCCCTCAAAAGACACAACATTTAAACACAGCAATATCTATAAGATGAATTTGAAACAATATGGTGTATTTATTTATTTATTTGATTGCTTGTAGATATTAGGGAGCATCTATATCTCTAGTGGAAATCAAAGATAAGATAAGAAGACTGAACCGAGATAAAGAACGAACAGTGTGTGATTCACTTTCCATCTTCCTTTTAACTATTAATCTGTTCCAAAACCTATTGAGCTTCCTCATCAGATAGCAGGTCACAAGGTATATAAGAGTCATTTGGAGGCAAGAGGCATTAGGTTTAGGAACAGAGCTTATATGTAGAGTATTTGGTATATAATAATTACGAATTATGAATGCTATAATAAACTATAGTTACTTACCATATGGGGGTTGTGGTATTGGTCTTGTGTCTGTACAGAGTAAATGTAACACTTTCCTTATGGTTGTCTTCAGTTCAAGGCCTTCAAAAGTCTCAATAAGGACCCGATCAGCTGATCCAGCTATTTCACGCAGTTCAGATTTCTTTATTTCATCGCCAATCCCAATGGCAGTTATTGTTATGTTCTTGTTTCTGAGATACGCTAATGCGTTCAAGTCTTTCTCATCATTAGCTTTTCCATCTGTGATCAGCAGGAGATTCTGAGCGACTCTTTCATCTATTCTGGATCCATTCTCTCTTGTGAAGTAGTATCTAATATTTCTCAGGGCGTCCCAAGTACTTGTGCCCTGCTTTCGTTGTCTGATTTTGTTTATAGCTTCCTCCACTTCTGCAAAACTAGTGTATGTGTTCAGGTAAAAGTGATGCAGGAGTATATCGCTGAACTGGGCAATACCCACTCGCCATTTGTCTTGAGCAATATCCAGCTCTTTCACAATGCCAATCATGGTTTTTTTGAGAGTATTCCAACTTGGTTCGTCAATAGACTCTGATCCATCAATTAAAAAAACAAGGTCTGATACCTCCATCTCACAAACTAGGAAACAAAAAAAAAAACATTAATGGACAGTTTTGGGAAGCAACATTACAACTGTAGATTGGCAGTTTCAGATCACGCATTTGTACCGATAGTTAGAGATAGTTCAGTAGGTGCTCTAAGACACATAAGCAATCCACATCTGGACAAGCAATCATGGATGAAGCAACCATGAGACACAAACACTAAGCATCATATGACGACGAAGATTTTTGAAGTGAATTATATTGCCATATATCATGAAGCGTTGATTGGATTTATATCTGTATTTATGTTAAGTATAATTGGACATCGATCTGATCAATCAAGATGCATGGAATAACTAAGCAGAAACAGTCACTTAAAGTCAACTTACTCTATTGAAAAAGCAGTTACTTACTGACAAAAATGTAGTGGTCAACATATTTTTAAATATATATAATTCCTTTGATATCATTTAATCAGAAGATACATTCACATAGAACGTTGAGTTCATTTCCAGAAAAAATGTATGGCACAAAGTGTTTGGTGATAAGAATAAGATTTACTTGGTTTGGTAAGATCGCAGAGCTCTTGGGTGATCCGTTTTTGTAGTCCACGCAGATCCTGGTAGGTCTTTGCATAGTGCACTGTTCCTTTCTTTCCCACCATCTCCTTTAGCTGTTCTGCATCTGCATCTTCAGTACCAATAGCAAAAATGTTAACCTCTGAATTTGCCAGGGATTCAGGCCATGTTGCCAGACCACTTAAGTCATTAACCGGGCCGTCTGTAATCAGAAATAGCACTTGGGGAACATTCTTTGCCCGTCGTCCACCATGTGTTCCACCAAAGTAGGAGAGTGTATAGTTCAGGGCTCGGACCGTGTTTCTGCTTCCTCCTGAAGTTTTGAGGTTTGAGATAACCCTCAGAATATCAGTTTGACTGTAGTACTGTTTTAGTGTGAACTCTGAATGAGGGTTATTAGAGTAGGTGACAGCGCCAAATCGTACCCGTTTTTCTCCAACCACAGATTTGCTCACCGTATATTTCATTAAGTTTATCATTTCCTGGAAACCATCTTTATTTGGACTTCCGGAGGCATCCATAAGGAAGATTATATCGATCAATTCTGGTGTCTTGCATTCTGGAAAGATATATGATGTTAATGTTAGAAGTAATTTGGAAAATCCACCTTTGCTAATATTTGAAGTGTTTTTTACTATAATACACATGAAAGCTGACAAGCATTTAGCAGATGTACACATTCAAAATGTGCAGTCCTTCTCTTTTGGCAAAACAGCCATAAGCCATAAATGTCTACATGTTGTTGGTGGTCAGATTCAGATGGTCAGGTGGTAAATGTGTGCACTGCTACACTAGCATGTAGATGCCCTCAAAGATGACATACATTGACTAAAAGTCACAGAACATTTTTTTCAAGGGATTTAACATCAACTGACAGAAGTTACTGACATGATGTGATCTCTCCTTAAAATCTCAGATTTGGTTTACGTACCTGTGTTGCAGATCTTTAGAAGGATGTCATTGCTTAATTCTTTTGGGGATGCAACTGCGTCTTCAAAGAACACTCCATCATGGGATCCAGCAATGGCAAGAATCTGAGATTTGTTTGCATGTCTCATACCAATAGCATTAATGTTGATGAAATTGTCTCTCAAGACTTTAGCAGGCTCAGATACATCATCCCTACTCTCTCCATCTGTAAGAAGTATCAAGAACTTTAAAGCACTGGCGCGTCCTCCTTTAGAAATGTTGAAAGATTGTAATACTTCTTTAAGCGCTTTTCCAGTGTACGTTTTTCCATTCTTCTGTTTAATATTTGTAATTTCCTGTAATAATACAGCTTTATCATCAAATTTATTTAAGGAAAACTCCTCATTTGGGTCTGTGCCGTACTGAACAACCGCAACACGCTCCTTGTCCGGTCCAATTACAAACCTATCTATCACAAGCTTCATTATGTACTTCATATTTTCAAAGTCCTTAGCACTAACGCTTTCTGATCCATCAAGCAGGAAGACAACATCTGCAAAAAGACCTTCACAACCTAAAAATAAGAAATTCATAAAGTGATCACTCGTTCTGTGAAAGGAATCTTGAAACAAATTCTATTTAGGCCAAGAGAAAAAAATTTATCTGCATGCACTGTATTATTTTATCACCCATTCAATAAAAAATTTTTGCAAATCAGGTAACAGTGCAAACATACAGTATAAACATATGCCAATAATCGAATGTCTCACCTTCAAAGGAGCATATTTCTGTAATGATGTCTTTCTTGATTTCATCAAGGAAATCATAGTTTTTGACATAAAATGTTCTTTGTGGGCTGCCAGATATTAATTCCAGCTCTGGCTCAGATGCATCTTTCACACCAATAGCATAAATGGTGACATTCTGTTCTGTTCTCAGAAGTTTAGCAGGGACTTCTACCGACTCTTCTGTCCCTCTCGACTCGCCATCTGTGATGACAATCAGGAGCTTACGAACTTTTTCCCCACGTGTTCGTACAGCTTCTTCGAATAGCGGGATCATTTCTCTCAACCCCAAATCAGTCCTGGTGCCCCCTCCCTCCATAATGAGGGCATTCACTGCCTTTTCGATATCAGCTTTTGTGTTATAGTCATGTAATCGGAAAACTGTTGTTGCGCTGCTTGCAAATTTTACCAATCCAAAGCGCACATGGTTATTTCCAACCTCAAATGCTTCAAGCCATTGCTTAGTAAAGTTCTTCATATCATCAAACTCATCATAGGATATACTTCCTGATTCATCCAGAAGAAAGTATATGTCGGCTTTGGTTGTTTGCTTGCAACCTGCAGTGGAGTGAAATTTTGAGTATTCAGATATGAAATTTGTATTATTATTTTTTTCATCATCACTGTGCTCTTAGGGCCAGTAATTTAAAAAAGAATGAGTAAAAACATCTTACCAACCTTGTAAAACAAAGCTCTGTGAGAGTGAGACTCTAGGTATGATGGAATCTGTGATTTCATTGCAGAGTGTTTTGGTTAAAATATTTGAAAGTGAATTTAGTTTATCAAAGTCTTCCACGTTGAATACAAACTTTTTATATGGGTAGGAAGCAATCTCTCTCAAGTCATCCTCCTCTGTGTCTTTGATACCAAGCGCAAATATAGTGACGCCAGATCGCCGCAATGCTGCCGCAGCCCTGGCCACCTCATCTGTTGATTTCCCATCAGTGATAACAACAGCAACCTGCTGAACATGCTGATCTCTTCTGCTGCCTCTTGCTTTGGTGAACACATGCTCTTTGGCAAACTTGAGAGCAGCTCCAGTGTATGTTTTACCACGACCATATGGCATGCTGCTGATGTAGCGCAGGATGTCAGTCTTATCATCGAAGGTGTTGAAGTTCACATCCACTCGAGGGAAGTCACTATAGAGAACCACAGCTATTTTTATTTTTCCCTCACCTACATCGAGACCTCCGATGGTGTTCTCGAGAAAGTCGCGCACAAGTTGGAAGTTTTTGGATCTGATACTGCTGGACTGATCAACAATAAAAGCGATATCTGCCACCACGTCAAACATGCACTCTGTCAAAAAGATATGAGAACTTTATAAAACCAGAGTCTTTAGGATTATGTACTACATAATAGTTTTTCAAGTTAAAACTCTAAACAAAGGAGAAAATGAGAAAAGTTTATGGGTTTTTTGGAAAGAATACTAGACAATGCATGCACTCACCCCTTGCGACAGCAGCATCTTCCCATGTGTCAATGGCAGACTTAATTTTCTGTTGTACTTGTTGGATGTTACCTACTAACTTGTAGCTGTGTGGTTGACTAGAGATGTACTTCATTTCATGTGCATCAGCTTTGTTCAAGCCAACAGCAAAAACTGTCACTGCATCTGTTTTGATTGTGCGGGATGCTTGGACGACACCATCGGCAGATTCTCCAGCTGAAATGACTAACAGAAATTGCTTAAAGCCTTCAGAGACACGGCTTCCAGTGACATTACTGAAGAACTTTTTATGAGCATATTCAATTGCATTGCCAATTTTACGCTCCCCTGTAGGCCTCAGTGTCAGGCTGCGAATAGATGACAAAATCTCATTTCTAGCCTTATCAGTATTTAGTAGGAACTCCTCTTTGACATTTTCGCTGAACTGAGCCAGGCCGACACGATTAGTATTCTTTCCCACGTTGAGCTGCTGGATCAGTCTTGGAAGAAAAGTCCTTATTATTTGCTGCTCTTGTCTAGATGCTGAACTATCAACCAATATGAAGAGATCAGCAAATTTTGGCACAAAAGCTAAAGAGAATGGAAACAAAGGAATAGAATTACTTGCATCTAAACCATAAATCAATAAACGGTCCCATACTTGAGCACAAACAACAGCAGATAGGAGTTCACTGTGATGGGACACAAAGCTAGTAGATGTTTTTGTAGTAATTTTAAGGTTTTCATATTCAACACTCCCATAGTATAGACACAAATAGGAAAGCATACCAAATAAAATATGTTACCTTGTGATTGGAGCGTCACAGTAAAGCACACCTTGTTGCGTAGACTTTCTTTTAGACCTTGCAGTTCTTTATAATTGTCGATACTGAATAAGAACTCTTCATGTGGGGTATTAGCAATGGTATGCAGTTTTTCCATGTCACCCGTTCCCACCCTGATGACAAAGATGGAAACTCCTAGGTTTCGTAGTCTCTGGGAAGGTTCCTCCACATCATCATTTGATTCCCCATCTGTGATGACTATGGCAATGCCAGGAACATTCTGTCTGGCCAGTCTAAAGTAATTTTCACGGATGAAAGTCAGAGCCAGACCAGTGTTGGTGCCTCCTCTACGGTAGATGAGATCATTCAACTTTTGGTGCAGATCTCTCTTATCTGAATAGTCACCGAGCAGGAACTCTTGGTATGGCCTGTCACTGAACTGAGCAAGTCCCACTCTCACCTTGTCGGGTCTAAGGTTAAAACTGTCCACAAAAGAATGGAGGAACTTCCTCACTTCTTCGAAATCACTCTCTCCAATGCTACCAGACGAGTCAACAAGGAGCACAATGTCTGCCTGAGCAGTCTGGTTGCAGCCTAGGCAAATGGAAGAATTTTAGATAGAACTTTGACCACTTGATTCTGCTCTTAATTCTTATATTTGCACAAATGAAATAACACAAAGGTCATTTTAATGGTGTAATCAGTTTTTGCTGTAAATATGCCACTGTCATTATGTTGCCTTAACCACAATATTTTTAAAAGTCAGCCTGTTTTGACTCAACCTCCTCTGTCTTTTCTAGCTAATCAGACTTAAAAAGAAAAACTAATCAGACTTAAAAAAAAAATGCTATTTCCTACAGAAAAATCTTTTACACTTCCATGAAAAACTTCTGAGTTTCCAAGTTATGTGCATCAAAGTCAGCACAACCTGCTATGTCCAAGTCTAATAATTTACAAGACTTGGACATAGCAGGTTATC